TTTGACTGCTAAGGTGAATTCTACCCCACTTATTAAAGCATTGTACTTGTCACATAATCACCTGTTTCTTAACCACTTCCTAAGACCAGAACTCGATGTAGTCCAAATTTCTGTGGGAATGAGTTACTTTTATATACCTTTATGGGAGTAACTAACTAATAATTAATATACAGTGAGCTCATTGGTGTATCTAAAGAAGTCCTTCAGTTTGCATGAAGAATGTGGCTCCTGCACTGAAATGGCATTTATGTGAATTGTCACATAAAATGGCATAGTATTTACATATACCATCTATTATTCATCTACTTCTATACTCTAGATCATCTCTACATTACTTTTAATGCAGACCACTATGTAAATAATTGAATATAAACTGTGACATAAATTTATGTCAATTGCTATTTGAACAGTCATTGTACCATACCATTAGGCAATAAGAAAGTAATGTTTATATAATATACACACACAAAGTACATAAATATAATTATGACATAAACCTGAACATACAGGGGGCCTGTGGTGGGTACTTCATATGTGATCATTTATTCAGCATTTACTGGGTCACAAATTTGTGCCAAGGATAGCACAGTGAGTTCTATCCTCTTCAGTAACACCAAACACTCGACATACACTATCTCATGCAATGGTTAAAACCACCCTCCCCCCCCCCCGGGGGGGGGCATCAAATACCATCAAACTTTGACACGAGACAATTACATTTCTAGTAAAGTCAGAGAAGAAGCCAGAGAACTGAAATTCACACCCCAAACTGAACAATAAAGCCTGTATCCAAGCTGAGAAACTTGCAAAGGAGTGTCACCTGCCTGCGGCAGAGAATGCAGTCACAGGGGACTGAGTGCTATGGAGCGCGAAGCAGCTCTTACTTGCGCACAACGTGAGGATGGTCCAGACTTGGATACACAGGACCAAGCATCCACAAACTGTAGAGAGGAAAAGAAACTATCCCCAATGAAAGAATTAGTATGTTCAAAGACACAAAACTGCCATTACATATTCAATGACTAGTACGTAAAGAAGGTAGAAAGGGCAGGCATGATCTCAGGACAGTAAATAAGAGGAAGTCACTGAGTAATTGCAAGCGAGAGACGGACTACCTTAGTCTCTTTAGATGGAAATGGACTGCAAGGGTTACTGCCTAGAAGCAGGGACCTTTTCAGGAGTTCAGGGAAAACTAACATAGAAAGGCAGAAGTGAAAGAAACAGAGATTGAGCAGGGCAGTGCTGGCGCACGCCTCTAATCCCAGCACTTGGGAGGCAGAGGCAGGTGGATCTCTGTGAGTTCAAGACCAGCCTGATTTATTGAGCAAAGTTCCAGGACAACCAGGACTACTCAGAGAAACCATCTTATAAAACAAAACAACAGAAATATTCAAAAGATGCACAGACACTAGAATTACTAGACATCCAAACCAATCAAAGACGAAGACAGTAAGAAGATGAAGGAAAGGAAGAAATCTAGGCAAACCCAAGTTTCTCTCTTGAGCTCTGGAGATATATATATGTCTCATATATAAAATCAACACCACTATCAAAACAGGGGCTAGGGGGCAAAACCAAGGGCGAGAGCACAGAAAATGCCAGATGGTGCTGCACTTGGGACAGCCAAAAGATGTGTAACACACACAGGTGACACTAGCATTCAGAAGAGACATTTACGAGAATACAGATTGAGAGAGCGGTGCTGAGAATGGGTGAAACTCCCTAAGGAAATGAGTATAAAGGATGGCACCCAAGACAGTTGCAGAGGCTAAGCATATTTCAGTCAGGGGCAGACGCAAATGTGAGACGCGGGAACGGTAGCAATGGATGTTTGTAGGAGTGTGTATCCAGGGACTTGGCAGTGCACTGAGTGAACCAGAGGGAGGGGAGACGGCCTGCAGACTGACCACAGTGGAGGGGCTGGGGAAAACGCAGACAAAACTCGGTGACTCGCAGAGAAGGGCAGAGTGAATGTCTTGGCTGAGAAAGGAGCAGCAGCTAAACTAGAATATAGAAAGGCACAGTTTTAGGATAGCACAGATTTTAGCACTTTACAGGATGAGAGAGAGACCTATGGTGAGAGATATGTTTAAAATGCACCTTTACACTTAAATCAGAGCATGGAAAAGATACCTATGACGTAATGTTAAAGGAAAATACACGGTGCTTAATACATAGAGAATGACGTCACTTCAAACTCAGACTCTCCACTATGACCTCACCCATGCGGAAACTGACTGACTTCATCGTGTACCACCTTCCCTCATTCAGCCCAGCAACACTGGCCACCCTTTCCCACCCTTCAACACACAGGGCGCTGCACCCGCCAGGCCACCCTGATCTGGGTCCCTGTGCCACCTCCTCAGGGAGGCCTGCCTACCTGTATGTGTGCAGTATTACATACTGTCCACCCCAAGTCCCACATTTCCTTATGCTAAAATTCTCATTTTCACTTGTCCCTTTCTCTCAGGTATGTAGGCTCTGAAGGCAATTTCATCCTCCACATAACCACGTACTGTTGTTCAACACTCACCTTTGTTGAAAAGATATTGGCATGGTAGGCACTTAAAGTACAACTTACACATACTATCTGGATGAAAATGGACACAACTATATTTACATGAAAAATATGAAGAAAGTTCTGGAAGGAGCTAATATTCCTGTTATAAATGAACAGGAATGAGTACAAAATTAGAAAGAGGGGATCTATAATTACAATCATTTGTGCTTCATCTCTCCAAATTGTCTACAAAATCAAGTCCTTTGCAGTTGAAGAATAATGGTTATTTAAGTAATAACCAGGGATCTAAAGTAGGCAGTCTATCCTGCTTTCCCTTTTCCTTTAGTGAGCTGTCATGACTGAATCATCTGTAAGACAGTTTTATTGCAGGCTAATGTGCGAGTTATTCTGATAGTAAAGTTAAAATGTTAATCCTTGGCATTGGCAAAGCTTCGATCATCTTGGCTGACACCCAAGTCTACAGATATGAACAAAACCTCAGAAATTTAATGAGTAAAGGTAATTTAATTAAGATACTAATGCAAAAACTAAAAAAAATAATTAAGAACTTTTTACTTAAAAAAAAACACTTAAAAGACCATTGTACATTATGTAAATGGTAACTAATAAAAGCTTATGGTCGCATATAGCCCTATAATCTTCTGGTGAAACTATTAGTGAAAGTAAAACTTACACTATATGATCAAATACTATTTGATACTATTCGACTATGGCTAAACAGTAAAATATGGCCAAAGATTCAGAATATAAGGAGTGAAAATACTCACTCTGAAAACTCGAATGCCATTCGGTGACAGATTCAGAAGATATTTTCCCCCTTTAGCATGAAGAATGGGGCTCAGAATCTTTCGGCCAAGCCCTGGTCCTACTCACCCCTTGTTTTTTCCACCCAGGACATCCATGTACCATTTTCAGAAAAGAAACTGCAGCGTTCCTCTCCAACTCTACTTGAGATTGGCACACAACAAAACAGTAACCACTTGCCTTAAAGTGATGGGAAAGATGGCAGTGACCTTTAGTAGTGCGGCCCCTCACGGATCCCATATTCCCACCAAGACAGGTACCCTCTTACTATATCACCATCTACAAACGCCCCACAGAACACTAAGAAGGGCGCACTCCAAGTCATTCACAGGTAACACCTTTCTCTGAAAGTTGTGGGAAGACTACGAAAGACACTCCATGGCCAGATGGATCGACACAGCAGGGTCAGAAAAGCAAACATGCAAAAACAGGTACCACAGACAGGTAATGTCACTGCACTTCTGAGTGTCAACTCCAGAGTGTACTTTTCCCTCTTAAATACTCAAGGCAGGACACAATGCCTCACTGCTGCTCCCAGGGAGCCACTTAGAGCAAGCCTCTAAGGCAACAGCATTGTGGTCATTTATGTACTCATACCTTGGCCTTGGGTACCCTGAAGTCAACCATCGCGCTACTTGCTCTGCTAACTGCACCCGTCCCACAACTGTGACAAAATATATAGTAAGCCAGCTTTATGTATACAAACCATGTTACTGCAAACTCACATGAGGAGGAAATCTTCACGGGAAATGGGAAGAAGAAACGAAACAGTCCATTATACACTACTTTACGTCCAATCCTCGGAAAGCCCATCCTAGTCAGTATTAGCATGATTTTCTCCACTAGGAAAGGAAGTTCCAACCACTGTGATCCCTGCCCAGGACCACCTGCAGATGCTCTACAAGGCTCTACAGCTTTAGGTCTACCTGCAACAGTACCCTCTGCCCACCAATCTAAATCAGCCTGCACCAATCACTTTACCCTCATGTCCTCACAGAACACACAGTGGCCACCCTGGTGAGTCTGACCTGTTAATACTCCGGACTGAGGAAGACCCTGGCTTGAATGAATGAACGCACACACCTGCCTACAGTCATTTTCCAAGGGGATCTGACCCGAGTCACAGGTGCCAAGTTACCGGGACTTCCCGTGGGAGGGGAGGTGCTCTGGACTGAGAAGTGAATCAAGACGTGGGTGTGTCCTGCTGCCTTCTCCACACGGCTCTCTTCAAAGACATTAGAGAACTACCTGTACCGAGCATGCATTGTCCTCTTGGATCACAACGCATTTGAAAAAGAACCCGCTTCAGACCTCATCGAGCCAATGACATCTGCGGTTGCTTAAAGCTGAAAGACACTGGGACACTCAGGGGCCCCTGGGCGGCAGCGCTTTCCTCTTCCACAACCTGCCCTGAATTTACCAACACGCCACGCAGAAGCACGTGGAAAGCAGTCCCGAGACACCATCACTCTGGTACTGGTAACACCGATCCCCCCCAAAAGGGCAGGCGGTGCGTGCGTGGCGCGCGTGTCCCGTGGCGCGCTGGCTGCCCTAGAAAGCACATTTCTGGCAGGCGAAGGTCACCACCACCAGCAAACGTGGCCGCACCTGACAGCTCCTGGGGACCACCGCCCCCCCCCGGCCCCCTCCCCCGGGAGCTGCCCGGCATACTCACTGAGTCCTCCATCCTCGGGCACTCCCGTCCCTCTCATCCCCAGGTAAGTCAGTCCCAGGATGAGGAAGAAGAGGCAGGCAGCAGTCAGGAGGGACATGGACAGGTAGTGCGCGCTGAAGCCCCCCGTCGGGGACGCCTCTTCCCGTTTAAACTGCAGGAGGAGCTCCTCCTCGGGCTCGCAGAGCTTCGGCTTGCCGCGGGCGTTCTTCAGGTAGGTGTGGTTGGAGCCCGTGTGGTTGGCGTGGTTGAGCCTGGGCGCCGCGGGGGCCGCACTGGCGGGGAGGCTGCCGGCGTAGGCCCCGGGGGCGTCTGCGGCCAAGGCGCCGCCGCCCAGGTGGTTATTGGCTTTGAGCAGGGCAGCCGCGGGCGACTCGGGGGCTGCAGGGTCCACGTCGGGGGCCGCGAGCGGGGCCGGCTTCTTGGCGCCAGCCCGGTGCCGGGGAAGCGGGCCCGGGTCCAGCGGCTCGCAGCCCGGCCCCGGCTCGGCCGCCGCCCCCTCGGCGCTCCGGCCCCAGCCTAGCCGACCCCTGTCGCCGAGCGCCGGCCCGGCCCCGGCGAGAGGCTGCGCGCCACACTTGGCCGCGATGAGCGCCGACAACGACTTGGCGTGGCCGCGTCTGGGCCGGTGGCGGGCGGGCGCGGGCTCGTCCCTGGCGCCCGGTCTGCCGGGGGCGCCGTCGCGGTCGCCGTCCTCGCCGTCCCCGTCGCCCCCGGCGTCCCCGTCGCCCTCGTCGTCCTCCTCCGAGTCCGAGTAGTGCTCCCGGCGGCCGGACGGGAGGAGCCTGCCGCCGTTCACCGCCCGCGGGCTCGCCCACAGCGGCTCGCAGGCGTCGGGGTCCCGGGCGCCGCCGTCCGCGCCGCGCTCCTCGTCCCCGGGCGGCGCCGCTGCCTCGCTGCCCGGCGGCGGCTGCGCTTCCGACGGCCCCGGCCGCCGCGCTCCCCACCACGACTGCGGCTTCCTGCGCTCGCCCGGGAGGCCGCTGCCGTCGCCCGGGGCCGGGGCCGGGGCCGGGGCCGGGGCCGGGGCCGGCCGGAGCCCGCGGTGGTGGAGCGCGGCCCGGTCCCTCCGCGCGCCGCCCCCGCCGCCCCCGCCGCCGCCCCCGCCGGCCTCCACGTCCGACTCGTCCGAGCTGAAGCCCAGCAGCACCTTGGCGGCCCCGGGTGTCCCCGCGGGGCTGTCGGGAGCCGGGGCGGCCAGGCGGCCTGGGCCCGCGGGCGTCCGCGCGAACGGGAGGTCTCCGGGGCCGGGCCGGGCCGCCATCGCCGCCGCATTGTTGCTGCCGCCCCGCGTCCTGGCGCCGCGGGCCCCCGCCCGGTGCGGCTGCGGCGGCTGCGGCTGCGGCGGCGGCGGCGGCGGCTCCTCGTCGCGAAGCTTCTTGAGCTTCTTGAGGTACACCGGCCGCGTGCTCTCCGTCACCGGGCCCGGCGACAAGCCGTAGCGGCGCAGCTGCGCGAACAGCTCCTCGTCCGACAGCTGCTGGGGCGCCGAGGCCGCCGCCGCCGCCGAGGCCGCCATTTTCTCTCCAGGGTGTTTTACGAGCTCCGCGCTCCCGGAAGTGACGCGCCGCCCTAGACCCTGAACTAGACCCGGCCGCCTGCGTCGCCCTCGCAGCGCCGCGGCCCGCCCGCCGCCGCTCGGCCAATGGGGAGCGCGGGACGGGCTCACCTGAGCGCGGAGGCGCCACCTGGGCCCGCGGCGGAGCGGAGCGGAGCGGAGCGGAGCCCGTCCCCGCCGCCGCCGCTGCCGCCCGCACCCCGGCCTCGTCCCCGGCCTCGTCCCCGGCCTCGTCCCCGGCAGCGGGCGGGCGGGCGGGCGAAGGGACATCCGCCCCGAAGTTCACGGCGACTCTGCCCTGGCCGGACCCAGCTGCCGAGGACACCGGGCTTTGGAGCTCCGCTGTCTCGGCTGTGGTCGTCCCCCGCTTTCAGACATGGTGACGTTTGTGAAAGCGACTCTCTCTTTCGGATGCCTTTCCCGGAGGGATGGATCGTCACGGCGACCTTCTCAAAAGCCGCAGCTGCTCTTTACACGGGGGCATGGCTTTAACTTTCTTTTACAGGTTTTGTCCGTTTGCTTGCTTGCTTGCTGACTATGATGGTGACCGTACAGAGTCATGGATGGAGAAGCGGGAGCGCCTACCATCCGGACCACTTTGGCAGAAGACGGACTCGCTGACTCTCCTGCTCTCCCAGCACCTACCCAGGCAGTCGTTAATAAATATTTTTGTTTACTTTGAAATATCTTATTGCCCCCTTCGGCTGTAAGCGCCGTGCACAGAAGACCTTTGCTTGCGTCCATCGTTTTCAACACCGGCAGCACAGAACACATTTGTTGGGTGAGGTAGAGAGCTGCAAACTATAATAGAATGAGGTGAAAATCTGGGGGGGGGGGCATGGGAAAGATGCCTGGTAAGGTCGGGAAACTTTCCCCCACAGAAAATAGTAACTGGAAGTCCTGCCTTCCTGTTCACGAAATACAGAGTGAATCTGAGAGCAGAGAAAGGATCTTGACAATTTTTGGTAAAGAGTGCTTACCCTTTTCTCAAATCCTGACAGAGCTAATACTTTTTTGAATACTTAATCCCTAGAAGCTATTAGGCAATCCTAGCACCATGTATGAAACACTACCAAGTTTCTGAGTTCTACCCTATAACATAAAAACATCTATAGGGAATAGCTTAGTCAAAAGCATAGATAATAGCTCTTCAATAACCAGCATCCCACAGTAGGGAGAAAAAAATACATATTAACCTCAGTTCTTGATTTCTAGCAGATCTTGTCTTCAAAACAAAGCTCTCATATGAAAGGCCGCTTCCCTTTTTTCTGTATCACGGAGACTTGACCCCGTCGCACATGATCCTGAATCTATGACTGTTAAGCATTTACAAGAGTGCCTGACGATATTATCATAACGATTATGATGACCCACAAAGTAGTTCATCTGGGTGTTATATAAAACTAGGTATTGGCCCTGTCCTTTCCACTACTTTTCGTCTTAGTTCAACATGCCTTCACCATTCTGCTGGTTTAGGTCAGAGTCCCAGGTGTCCGTGATGGGGAACACTGTCAACCTGACTGGATCCAAAGGCCCACCTAGGAGACAAGCATCTGGACTGCTGTAAGGGGTTATCCAGGTTTGGCTAACTGATCCACCTTAACTCAAGGCAGGCCCATTCAATAGCCTGGGATACTACACTGGATAAAAGGAGAAAGTGAACTGAGCATAAGACATCCATACCTTTCTGCTTGCTTGACCGCAGTTGCAACACGATAGTAGCCTCTGGCGTCTTCATTCCTTGGCTGCCATGAACTTTGACCTCAAACTATAAGCCAAAATGAACCCTTCCTTAAGTTCCTGTGTGAGGACTGGAAAGTAGCCAATACAGTACATATTGATCCTGCCTCAACTGTCTGGAGCTGTTAAATGCATGCCTGCAAGGATGGCTGGACAACTTGTATTTCCATCTCTAACTTTGGGTAAACTGATGTCTCTGAGCCTTCATCTCTGTGTATACGAAATCCACCACATATGATCCCCACACAAGTGTCCATGTGATGCATAGAGTCACGCCTAATACACAATGTACGCTCAGTAAGCCTTAGTAATGCCAAAGTCAGCCACCGTGGGTGTCTATTTCAGTGGCATGGTTCCTAGGAATTCCATGTGACAGCAATCAAAACACTTCTGTACAGATAGAAGTAGAATCATTCAGAGTCTGCGGAAGGTCTTAATCACATCGAGTTAACGCGGGTCAAAGGCTTCAGTAACCACGGTTGGTCAGTTCAGTACTTGGGGTTTTGAATGAACAGGGAGCGAAAGGTCTTCCGTCTCCAAGTTACAAAAACCTTAGGCTCTCAGAACCCCAGTTTATCCTGTTAAAATGTTGACATATTACCTTCCTCACTTGGCAAACAACTAATATTTAAGAAATTTTTATGGGAATGGTGAATAATACATAGTATATAAAAATGGCATTCAAGTATGGTATTCACATGTTGGTTACTGCCACACAATAATAAAAGATGAAAATTGAACTAACATGCAAATTAACGTCTTACAAGACTTTTGTAAACATGTTCTCATTTGGTCTACACAACAAACAACAAAACCCTTTCTTTCAGGATGCTGAGGGCATGGTTTATCGTAGGGAACTGATATGGGGTTGTAATTCCCTATCACTGATCATTTGTGACTTGCCTCTTATTTTCCAAATGCACCTTATTCCAGCTCCCAGACTGGCTGAGTGTTTAAGTATGGAGCTTTATCTTAGTTGCACCAAGATACTTGGCAGGGAATCCAATCTCAAACTTACTGGGCTCCATGGCCTCTGTTTTCATTGAAAAACCTTGTATAGAATTTTTTTTGGAGCCCGATATTATAATCAAAGATACCACTTGTGGTTTATTTCCTAGAAGTTCTGGTCCTAGTACTAAACATAGTTCTGTTTTTCCAGGTCAATAGATTTAGTTTTGATTCTTTTTTTTTTTCTTACTGAAATGAAATTCACAAACATAAAATTAGCCATTTTAAAGTATACAAGTGGTATTTAAAACACTCATAGTACTGCACAACTATCACCTATATCTAGTACCAAAATACTTTCATCACTCCCAAAAGAGACTCTGAACTCATTAAAAACCCACTCTCCATTTCCTCCTTTCCCTACGTGGCAGACAGCCGCTAGCAGTTTCTTGCCTTTCTGGATGTAGCACGCATGAACATATCAGGTGAGTAGAATCAAAAGTTATGTGACCGTATACCTGATTCCCGTCACTCAGCATAAGGTTTCCAAGATTTATCCATGTTGTAGCATTTATTTATTTAGGTTTTTCGAGACAGGATTTCCCTGTGTAGCTTTGGAGCCTGTCTTGTAACTCACCCTATAGACCAGGCTGACCTCAAACTCACAGAGATCCGCCTGTCTCTGCCTCCCAAGTGCTGGGATTAAAGGTGTGCGCCACCATTGCCCAACTCCATGTTGTAATATCTTATTATATGATAATATTTCATTAGATGAGCATGTCACATTTTAGTCATCTATTCATCCATTGACCAGCAGTTTGGTTGTTTCTACATCTGCTTGCTAGTAATAATGTTATCATAAACATTGATTTTTTTTTTAAGTGTCCATTTTCAAATCTGTGAGTATGTGCTTCGGAGCGGAATAAGAAATCATGTGATAACTATATGTTGGAATTTTTGAGGATTACAAAAATTCACGGGGGTAGACAGTGCCAGAGGGACATTTGCTAGTTTTGTGGAGCAAAGCGGTTGACAAGTGAGGCTGTATTGTTAAGGGTGGAGGGAATGGACACAGGGAGGAGGGGCCAACCAAAACATGGGGGGGGTGGTCCTCTTGGGAACTAGGCTTAGTCCTGAATGCTAAGGTCCCTTGAGCCAATGTCAAGAGGAACAAATTTTAACAGGCTCTGCTGGAAGCTTGAGAGGTACAGCCTTGTTAGGAGAGCTCTCCTGCTGTTTCAAGCCCCGCCCCCAGTATCTTTACACATAAAGCGAAAGCCTGGGGGCAAGGTGTTCCCACTCTTGTAATCCACGTGGAAATATAAAAAGCTAAAAAGCACAGCCATCCACTTCACAGAACATTAAAAAAAAAAAAATACCTGACACTCTACTATATTGATGCTATCATTGGAACTCCTCGAATAATGCCTCAAGGGTGTGTTTGCTAGTTTTTAATCTACACAGTTCCTGGTATTTATTTCTCTTTTTGATCGCCCAACTTCTGTTTTAAGTGCTAACCCTTCTAAGGAAGAAGCCAGAATAAACATACTAGAAACACAACACGGTATTAAGAAATGTTAGACAAAATTCTTACCCTATGTTAGTGTGAGAATTTGCCAAGAAAGTTTTGTCGGGCGAGCGTCTGTCTTGATGCTCTATATATAACTCAAACAGGTGAGGAGCAGTCACAGGGCTCAAGTAAACAGCGCACATATGCCGCCGCCGGTATTTATATCCTACTGTAGCCACTCGAGTGAGTGAATTGCCTCCATCATATGCAAAAAGCTACAGACATTTCTCTTTACAGAATGATGCATCCCAGTGTTCGATCTGAATTCTATTTCCAGTTCTACAACCCATTGCAGAAATATTTTATATGGCCTCCTAACCTACCCAAAAAAAAAAAAAAAAAAAAAAAAAAAAAAAGCCTTTAACTTGTCATTTCATCTTTACATCCACTCTGAGGGGGAAGAAATTAACATGATAGTTTTAGAGATGGGAAAACTAAAACTTAGGAAGTTTCTGTCCTTCGCCCTTTGTGAAGCAAATGACCAAGACCCAAAGCCACTCTTGGGTTCTCAGCCTCTCAGTTGGCTGCTCCTGCCCACCACAGTATCATTCAGATGCCACAGACAGAGTTATGGGATCTCTTACTTCATCTATAAAATGTGGTGGGAAAGTACAGTGATTTAACCACCAAGATCCCTGCAAGACGCAAAGTCCTTCTCAACTACTTACATGGTGGGCATTTCTGTACTGGCCTTCTCTCTGCCCCTCGGCTCTTCCTGTCTTTTTGAAACTTTCTTCTTCCCTGACTCTAACTTA